CCTGTCTACTTGAAATCCCTGGAGTAAGGCCAGTGTGCACGGGAAGCCAAGCGATGCTGGATGTTACCGCATGAGCGTTGGGATGTGAATGCTACACCAAGCAGAGAAACCCTCCAGTCAAGCTACAGCTGGCAGGGTTTTTCCTCTCCACCCCCTTATTTTCCATCGGACTCTCCCCCTCTCACACTCCTCCCCATCTCCTCCCTAAACACACACAAACACACACACACACACACACACACACACACACACATCAGTGAGACCCCACCTCCAGCTGGTAGGTCCAGCCCCGTGATGATTCAGGAACACACCCCTTTGGTTTAGCCTTGTCCCATCAGCATGGTTGGAATAGTCAGAGCAGAGCTGCACTGATCTGCTTGTATACAAGCTCAGGCACAGCAAAAGGAGGAATGTCAGACAGGATCCGTTTCTGTTTCCACTCCTTTCCCCCGTCTACGCATGCAGCATGCTCAGTTTATGGATTTATAATGGATGAAAGACACCTGGAAGCAAAAAGGACCTAAAGAAGCAACAAGATGATCTTGTGATGGATTCTAGAAGTGTTGCTGAAAAAGATTCACTGTAGCAAACACAAAGATGTATGTGACTACTTTACTGCTAGAAGTGAACTTGTATTTATTTTCCAGAGTTTTTAACTGTATATCTCACTGCTTTCATCAGCGCATGGTGTAGCGGACCCCAGCCGGACAATGGTGAAGCATACTGATGTTTCCAGAGGCCTTTATTCATGTTCCACCGTCATCCTTATTTTGATGAAAACAAATTTACTTTTCTCCTTATGACCAATCTCCAGAAAGAACCGTAAGAGCTACGGAACAGATAGAACATAAATGAGCTCTTACGAGTATCAATGTTCATTAAATTACATTTAAATATACATGTGAGCATTAATCAAACATTTTCTCTCACATATATACTTCTCAACAGCATATGTAAAACCCGTACATGTATTATTACATCCCTAGAAACAAATAATAACCGTAGCTGTGGCTCATAATTAGGTTATTCAACTGTAGTAGGACAGCACAGAAGTCCCAGGTATAAAATGCACGGCCCGCCACTGATATATATATATATATATATGTATAGTATATATATATGTTGCTGGTTCATTGGTCTGGTTCATTTGTGTCAAAGCAGTAAGAACATAACTTTTGCCTAATCGCCCGCCCTGATCCTCTTGGGGTTGAGTCAAGACCAAGACCGTGTTTAGGTTCTAGCTCAAGTCCAGACCGGTTCTAAAGGGGCTGAGACAAAGGCAAGACCAATACAAAGGTAGATTTCAAGGGGTATTCAAGTGATTTCAAACTGCAAGGCAAGATAATTTAATATAAATAGGACATGTAATACAAGTAACCTCAACATCAAAGTGGGTGGGCAAATACCAATAAAGATGGTAAAGACCCTGCATCAATTACATTGATATAAAGTTGAGAAAGGATAGGGGTCGTTGAGAGTCCACTTCCTGTACTTGTGTCTTGTTTCACCACTGCAATACTGTAGTCCTTTAGGAGACTAGCGGCAGGTCCTGACTCTATCAACTCCGATGGGAGAAATGAACGTGAACACAGATTATGACCGATTCATTCGCTCCATTGTCACAAAAGCAAATATTGGCACCCATTATTTTACACGCCACATATCTTCCAAACATTCTGACACTGCAACGGTATTTTTAAAACACACAAATAGAAAATGTACTTAGTTCGAGACTGTCTCAGCGCAAGATCACTCTCGTAAGATCTGGCCGCTAACGTTGGCGAGCGCCCTTGCTTACAAATTTTCGTAATACTAAATATGGGCTGTTAGCTTTGTAAATGTTAGCAACAGATTAGATTAGCCTGTTAGTTGTTCTTTTTTTGTAAATCCTGATCCTGTTTTCTGGACCCAGCCTGTTTATCTTGGATCTAGCCTCAGTCCAGCCTGTTTTGGTACTGTTAGCCTGCCTGGATTTTGTATACTTGTATTTTTTTCAGTTAAGACTGAACTTCTAACTTTGCCTCCTTAGTCGTACATTTGGGTTCTTTTGTGCTTTTTGTGAACTGTGACACAACACTTCCAAACAAGGTGGATGGGGGAGAGGCCAACACGCCATGACCACGCAACCCCACAGACAGGGAGTGTATACCATTTCAAACCAGCTTGTAATGCGTCGTCTTTGTTAGAGTATCCCTGGTAGTATGAATGGAACCGCCAGGCTTTACTTTACGTCTCACCACACAAAGAACAAACTGCCTCCTGCATCATCACTGAATTATATCTTTATACATTTCAAGCATGGATGGTAAAAACTGATTGTCTTCCTAAAATAAGCTATCAGCACAGTGTTTTTTGAAGCCAATGTTCAAGGTTCAAAGCTGCAGGAGAGAAATGTCTTCTGAATAAGATTTGAAAGAGTCAAACTCTGATTTGGAATCCATGGAAAGACATTTTCCAAAGAGCACCTTCCAGTCATTACCTTGATATTTTACTCCATATGGATCTCAGTAGCATGCTCTGCACTCTTCTGCAGAGCAAGCACGCACTTCTAGTGCATATATGAAAACCACATGGCATCCCAGAATGGGGCAGTAAGCTATAAAAGCTGTTTCTCAAACAAGTCTGCTGCAGTAATTTATGTACATTATGGGAGTTCCATGCCTCTAAAATTGCTCGCTGGCAGCCAGCCAGTGTCCTGGTTTAAACCCTGCACCATGTGGAACTGAGAGGGGGTGAAGCTCTGATGTGGCTTTTTGCAAGAGGAAAACTTCTACAGGATCTTGTTAGTACTGACTCAACACTTGGCCACTTGTGGACTATTCCACCACATCTGGTAGACCTTATTCTCAGGACGCTGAGAGGAGTGGTTTTGGTAGAACTTGTTTGAGGTGGTAGTAATAACTAATGAGGTGTATTAAGGCACAAATTATTATATAATAATCAGAGTTCAATGTACATGACTTCTTAATAGATTAAAATAAAGGGTGCTATAGTTGATATTTCTATCACAATGGATCAAAATGATGATGTGCGATGTGAAAGGAGTCACTATTAGTGATGAACTCACAGAGAATTATCACTAATTCTGATGTTGGTCCTTTCAAGACAGACATGGCCCTTGATGAAACAATGCAGCAATACTACATCATCAAGCAAGGGCAATCAAATACATGCGAACACACATTCCTGGTAATGTGAACACCATATTTCTATCCATCATAACAAAGGCCTCACCGAGGATGAACTTCCTGCGCCAGCTCAAGAAGTTCAACCTGCCTCTGGAGTTGCTGATCCAATTTTACACCACAATTAAGGAACGGACTGCAACGGACAGTCAGCACTGCAGAAAAAATGATCGATGCCAGTCTGCCCTCCATTCGGGACTAATACATCTCCAGAGTCAGGAAACACACAGGAAACATCACTGCAGACCCATCACACCCTGTGACCCAACCTGTTCAAACTTCTCCCCTCTGTAGGCGCTACAGAACACTGCTGGCCAAAACAACCAGACACAAAAACAGCGTCTCTCCACGCTGTCATGCTGGTGAACAGTTAACATCAGTCATATTGTGTCAGGAACAATCCCTATGGAATAACATGTAACACTAAACATCCACTGTACCTGTAAATTATATATTACACCGTTTTTCAAATATCATCATTGTCAAATATATATCCAAGCACACTCTATACTGTCTTATCCACCTGTCACATGTGACATTAATCATTCCTGCACTATTGTCTTACCATTTGCAAATTTTGTTGTTGCCGTTTACGTTTTACCTTTGACGGGCTGCATGGCTAAGTATGTGAAGCGGTCGACTAGTAATCGAAAGGTCCATGGTTCAATCCCAGGCTCCTCAGTGTCGAAGTGTCCTTGAGCAAGACACCATTACTAACGGCTTTGAGTGGTTGATAGACGAGAAAAGCACTATTTAAATGACTGTAATTCCTTGTATGTGTACATTTCTTGGCCATATACTTTGCTGATCCTGATGCTGATATTTCTGCTGTTTACCTGGATGTTGTTTCAATGAAACTTGATAACTTCTGAGAGTTGTAAAATCCTGCTTTAGAATATTACAGACTTCTGTCAGTGTTTTGGTGTGTGATAAACCTTCAGACTCCTTGATCTAGCTGCAGTCGGGGGAAGTTACAAAAGATGCAGCTAACAGCAGCCTTAAAGGACTTATTGTTGTATGAATACAATCTAACAGTCAAACAGAAAATGAAGATTATGTGAAAACAAAATCCCATAATAAGGTCCATTTAGTAGATGTTCAGGAGCTTTCCATCATACCACATGATCATGTGAGCGTAAAATGTCAAGAAAATTAAAAAAAGATAAGAGGAAGACTGTATAAAAATAGATGTTACCTCTGTGTTCTCCTAATATATATTTCTTATTCGGAGGGCATCTAATACAGTCGTATGTGTGGTGAGTGGAGCGTGCATCACAAATTCTAATATCGCTTCAATGGCTTTATAATCCTCACAGCATATCACACCCTCTGTCCTTAGACCTGTGGTTCAGATAAAACAAAAAACCTTTAAATGGAGGAAACCCCGAAGAGCAAATGTGACGGGATCCTCTCCCAGACAGAGACAAATAATAGATGTTGTGTGTGCAACATCCTTTTAATAATTAAATTAAATGAATAATTTTGATGTATAAATATGTACAGTTTGGATTGCATGCTCCAGTTAAATCACCATGTCGTTGCTACTGTGATCATCTTTAATCCTGGATCACATGTCAAGTTCACGGATAAAAAAAAAGCTTCCGTTTGGGATTTTCGACGTCAAACGACAATAATTCTTCTATCTTGATTTTGAGCAACCAAAGGTACCACCGTGGATGATTAACGGTCTAATTTATTTGAAATACATTGCTTTCGTTGTCATTTTTGGAGGCAAGTAAAAAAATCCACGTCTGTCGAATAAATACACCATGCCTTTATTTTGAAATTGTCTATTTATGGGTACATTTCCGGGCGAGCGCATCTACCTTTGATGCACCGCCCAGGACTTCAGCATCCAACATAGATACAGGCCAGATAGAGAGCGAGCAGCTGCATCCTACACAGGTGAGTAAATAGACATTTTAAAAGTCTTTCGTGCAAAATGTAGTCAACGCAGTGTGTCACACTCAGTGAGGGAATTGCTAACCATATTTCTACGAATCATAATATTTCGACGTGTGGGCTGTGAAGACGTTCATTTGTCACCGACAAAATACATCTTCAGTAACGTCAGGCGCGTCTCGTGCTTGTAAATGGGATATTTTGACGTAATTTTGACGACTCGGTTCATGTTTGTCACATGAACCGAGTCGTCCCGTTCTGAAATATTACTACAGCATCCTAATTGTACACTGCAGCCTGTAAATGACTTTACCTAAATCATATTCTAGGTAGGGGCCTATAACGGGTGGCCCCATGTTGGTCTCTATAACGGGGGAAATGCATAAATATAATAGTGCATTGTTATATGTCATGAATAGGGTCTTATTTTCAAAATCGGACGCAGCGAGTGTGTGAGAGGAGGTGACAGATGCTCACACAGAGCCGCAGGCCGGACTCCAGCAGAGCATCATGGCGTCCTTGAGCAGTGAAGGGCAGAGCTGCAGCAGAGAGGATGCTGCGACATCAGCGCTGCTCCGCTCTCAATGCTAGCTCAGGCTCTCAATATGCAGTCGTGTTTCATACAATGATGCTATTGACTTGCTTTGCAGCCCTATCTTTAGGCTGCGTCACTGCGTTGTGTATGAGCTATTATTATAAAGGGTCGTCCATCCTTGGCAAATAAGCGCAATTCCTTTCCGTATTTAGCTTTAGCCTCTTCTTGTATACCTTACAGTAGCCTACACATGAGTAATGTTTTATATTATAATGGGACTGATGTGTAATGACAACGGTCTCAATTAGTATATAGATTGGTTTGTATGTTAAATATTTGTATTTTATATTATCTGACCGATGTAAAATTCTCCATATTGAATGTCTACATTGCTTGTGGCAAATATGTATAAACATTTATACTAAAATATTCCAATAATATGTTTACTGATTACACACTCGATCTATCTGTCTGTCCGTCTGTTAGCTGCCTAACTATTTTGTGGACCCCATCCATGCTGGAATATTTCCCTCCTGAAGCCACAGTCATTGAAGGGCTATTATTTTCATTATTGATTGATCAAGACAATTATTTTCTGATCAATCCTAACATTTGATGAGCTGGAACCAGAGAATGTTTGACTTGTTTCTGAGGATAAAAACAAACAAACACACACTTAGATGGTAAGGTCAGTACAGACTACATGGCAGAGTGAGGCAATTCATGCTCCATTTGGTTAGACCAAACTCACTGTAGTGCAGTGTAGCGTAGTATGATAGTGCTGAATACAGTATGTTATTCTGCTCACCCTCACTGCTCTGTTGTTTCTCACTGTACTGTACTATAGTATAGCCTAGTTGTTGTGACACTACAGTATATCGTTCTAACTTGTATTAAATAATTACCACAGTTCTTTTCGGAAAAAAACAGGTTGACCTTTTCACTGTGTAAAAAAATATATATTTAAAAGATCTCTTGATCTAACACTTGTACGTCTCTCTCTGTCCCATGGTGCAGTGTTTCTTCATTCTAGCTGCGGTGGAGCGTGGTGCTCGTCATGGGGGAACTGTTCAGGAGCGAGGAGATGACCCTTGCCCAGCTCTTTCTCCAGTCTGAGGCAGCCTACTGCTGCGTCAGTGAGCTGGGAGAACTGGGCATGGTTCAGTTTAGAGATGTGAGTGTGAATGTTCTCGTGCTGCATCGTTTTCTGGTGGTAGAGATAATCCCATGCATTGGATCGAAACATGAGAGGCCACAGAGGACACGTTTGCTGTCTTTCACATGCCATCACACATGTATTGGTGACGAATAGTGAATTCATACATTTGAATGTTTCCACCTCATTATTTCAGTCATTATTTGTCCCTTTGAGTTTTAGCCATATATACATAATCCTTGTCTTTTTTTCTCCACCCACAGCTGAATCCAGATGTAAACGTGTTCCAGCGCAAGTTTGTGAATGAAGTGAGGAGATGTGAGGAGATGGACAGGAAACTGAGTAAGTAGTGACACAACTTAACCAAAGGTACAGTATAGTTCCTACATAAAATAAGAGGAGATGATCCTTTATTAGTCCCACAGCTGGGACATTTGTAGTATAACAGCAGCAAAGTGGACTACAACAGACATCAGTAAAAAACTAAATAAGTAATCAAACAGTAAAAGAGTAATAAATATGTAAACCTTAAAAAACAACAAAACTTAAACACAATATAATCTGAGTGGTTGGGTTCACATTTTTGCACATATGAAGTAGGAAATATGAAGTGTTGATATATTTGTATTGAACAGTGGTATACGTTGATATTGGTATTGCAGATGAATGAATGAGTAATTTGTCAGTGTTTTTGGTATGTGCTTGGTATTCACATGAAGTAAACCTGTAACACATTTCAAAATAACAGAGTTGTCAGTGAGAACATGATGACGTGGATGAATATAAAGAACTTGTTGTTTTTCACTGCTAACTGTTGAACCGTGGATCCTCTCTGCTGAACAGGGTTTGTGGAGAAGGAGATTAAGAAAGCCAATATCCCAACTGTTGACACTGGAGAAAATCCAGAGGTGCCTTTTCCCAGGGACATGATCGATCTCGAGGTAATCAGCCTGCCATCTGTAATCATGATCACTCATCATCTGATCATTATTATTTTTGATAGATGAGTTGATGCACGTGTCATATTCCACAAACACCCCACTCAGCATCACCTGAGGTATGAGTGGTCAGTGGCCCTACACTTCAAACTATGATGCCATAGGTTCCCCTCTAGCGTCAGGGCGGCCTTGTCAGCTTCCACTCACTACGTGCACGTGTCTCTTTTCAAAATAAGCGTCTGACGTAGGTTTACTTTGTTTTTAGGTTGACTTAAGCAGAACAGCTGCTTGGTTAGGCTTAGGAAAAGAATGGGGTTTGCGTTAAAATCAGAAAGTTTGTTACGCAAAATAATTACGCTTCTTACATAACGCACTAGTAAAGAAGGGAAGTTATGTAACAAAACTAAGGTAGAATAAATCAACGTTGACTCTGTGTCACACAGGACTGTATCTGTTGGACACATCCAACCCACTCAGCCTTTAATTCAAAGCTAGATTCTGATGAATTGTGAGTTTTATGTACGATCAGCTTCATGTGTGCATGTATACATGTCTATACACAATGTGCAGGATTTATATTTGACAGTGATGATGCGCACATGTTAGAGCAAAGGGTGTATCTTGTATTTATACTGTTGACTGTGACTGAAAGGCCACCTTTGAGAAGCTGGAGAACGAACTGAAGGAAATCAACACCAACCAGGAGGCACTGAAGAAGAACTTCCTGGAGCTGACGGAGCTCAAACACATCCTCCGTCGCACGCAGCAGTTCTTTGATGAGGTTTGCTGGTTTCTCCCTCTCAGATGTACACACCACACACACACACACACACACACACAGGAGCACAATAGATAATTGATGG